AGCCAGAAATCTTGCTTGTTTGTAGGTGACCAAATACTTATTTTCCACCATAATTTGCAAATAAATTCATTAAAAATCCTACAATGTGATTTTCAGGATTTTTTTTTCTCAATTTGTCTGTCATAGTTGACGTGTACCTATGATGAAAATTACAGGCCTCTCATCTTTTTAAGTGGGAGAACTTGCACAATTGGTGGCTGACTAAATACTTTTTTTCCCCACTGTATATTTACCCTCTTTTACCCACTTAGTGTGTTGTAGTAGGACACCTGAAAAGCAGGTCTGGAATCTGTTAGATATAATTGTGTGTATATGCATGCAAGTGTGTGTGCGGACTATAAAGGGTGCTATAAACAGTTGGCCACAGCTGTTGTCAGGCTGCTGCCCTGCACTGTGTCTGGGCACTTGGCCAGCTGGATTCAGTTGGAAAAGAGGGAGGGTGGATGAAAGCGGCCTCTCTCTCTCTCTCTCTCTCTCTCTCTCTCTCTCTCTCTCTCTCTCTCTCTCTCTCTCTCTCTCTCTCTCTCTCTCTCTCTCTCTCTCTCTCTCTCTTTGTCTCAGCTTCCCTCTGACTGCTTGCTGTACTAGCTGCCACATGGCATGATGGGGGAAGAAGTGGGACATTCTCTCAAAAGGAGAGCCGCCCAGTCTCATTTTCCCTTCATCTACATGAATGTAGCCCTTTGATAGGGATGTTTTGTGTGGCACTGAATCTTTGTGACAGTGAATGTAATGGGGCATCTCTTTGCCTTTGTAGGTGTTGTTGATTACGGCATAAATTGTGTCTGCTCTGCTTCGTTCATGCTGGCCCAATCAGTGTCCACTTTCTGGAGAAACTCTGTTGATCCTGTCTGTCAGCATTTACACATTGTCTGATGTTTACAGTATCTATACATGCCACTATATCATACATACAACTATGTATTGAATTGATTACATGCACCATGGACACGCACATGTCCTATCATTGTTGTCATTTAAGGCTGAAGTTCTAAGTCTGTGTGCCTATGAGGCCAACCTTGTGATCAACTCTGGAACTTGTGCAACGTCTTTCAAGTAGATCTAATCAGACATGCAAAGAGACAAGAATCTCACTTGTCTATTGTTTTAAATTAGCCTCTGTGTGGACTGTGGGACAATATGAACATGCACTTGCTCAATATTTGTTAGTTATTTAACTACAATTTTGTGTTTATTTTTGCCCTAAATGTAAAGAATGTTTTGAAAACGTGGTTTATTGCTCCAGTGACCTATTTCAATTAGCTTAAAGGAAAACTCCAAACAAAAACTATCTTTTGGTATTTGTAAATGTATTTGTTTCATTAGTCCATTGTTGATATAGTCCCAAAATGTTTTGCATGTCAGCAATCAAGTTTTCAAGATATATAGCTTTCAAAATATAGAAATACAGCTGGTATGATGCAAAACACATTATACTGGCTATATTTCTGTATTTTGTTTAAGTTAATCAGGCCTTGCACTGTGGGCTATTGAGTCCTCTACTCCTGCCATTCATGAAGGTATATTACAATATATGTTTGTATATAGATCATGTTTCAAAACAGACTTGCATGATAATGCACCAATCGTGAACTCACTACTTGATAAACCAGCAGATGATACAAAATGAAGATGTGTTTTCTTTTATGAATCCACAGGACCAGAGGTTAAAACTTGGATTGGATTATTAGCCTCTTTTTTTCTTCATCACACAGGCATTCATTGAGAGTGGGCTATGAAGATCACACTGGATGACACAACAATGTCATTAGAAAAAAAAGATGAAGCGCTTGTCAATGTACCCAGGTTTCTAGAGGTGGAAATAACCTGTTTTTAGCTGAATCGGTCAATTCTTGCTGTCTATTTTAAGCTATCCCAAACCATTTGTGTCTTAAGGATTCAAATTACTATTAGATTACAACTTGTTAGTGTGGTAGTGTGTGGTAGTGTGTGGTAGTGTGGTCTCTGTATCTGATATATCAAAACTCTGCCTTTGCCTATAGAATACCAGATTTGCACACAGGATAATAAATTGCTAGTCTGCTAGTGCCCAAGATTATTTATTTATATAAACTTGTAATGAACTTTAACAACCCGTTTTAAATTCCTGTTCTTGCTGTTCATATGTGTTATCAAAAAACCTCCATTGTGCAGTCATAGGTTGGGGCCTAGTTCTCCTGTATAAACCTAGTCTGACATCTGTACTGAGGGTCTGAAAAATGTAAAGAGTCGTCTGGGGAAACAGAGGAATGTGATGAGAACAGGAAGTAAAATCTCCTCCTGCAGAGAGGAGAAAAAAGTCCTGGCGCAAAAAACAAGAGCCTCTCTTTCCACTCAGGTCAGCTCATGTGCTCACTCAAGCAGCATAGTTTCTGTATCGCAATACACCAATTAATTGAAGATTTGTTTTTCCACATCTGGGCATCTGCTGCAATCTTTATTTGGGGGCCGGGGGAGTCTGAAAATGTTTTCAACTTTATAGACGCAGCACACATAAAGGTAATTCCAAAATAAAGGAAACACCAACATAAAGTGTCTTAATAGGGCGTTGGGCCACCACGAGCCAGAACAGCTTCAATGCAACTTGGTATAGATTCTTCAAGTGTGTGGAACTCTATTGGAGGGATGCAACACCATTCTTCCATGAGAAATACCATAATTTGTTGTTTTGTTGATGGTGGTGGAAAACAGGCGCCTCTCGAGAATCTCCCATAAGTGTTCAATTGGGTTGAGATCTGGTGACTGAGACGGCCATGGTATATGGTTTACATAATTTTCATGCTCATCAAACCATTCAGTGACCACTCATGCCATGTAGATGGGTGCATTGTCATCCTACGGGGGCATAGCCATGGTAGCAAAAATAATGGCCTGCCCAGCATTTTTACACATGACCCTAAGCATGATGGGATGTTAATTGCTTAATTAACTCAGGAACCACCCCTGTGTGGAAGCACCTGCTTTCAATATACTTTGTATCCCTCGTTTACTCAAGTGTTTCCTTTATTTTGGCAGTTACCTGTATCAGGCTGTTTGGCCTGTCAGTCACTTATGGAAGACGAATGGCCCTTGACCTCCTCTGTTTTCTGCCAGAATGTGTGTAGAACATTCCAGGCAGCAGGACCACTCTGCTAGGATGTAGGGAGGGAGGGAAGGAGGGGAAAGAGGATACTCAATCTATTGCTTCATCTAGCAGCTCATTTTGTGGTGGCTAAATGTTTATTTCTTCACTTATTGTTAGAAGAAAATGATCTTGTGTGGCTGGGACTTGATTTTATTTGGACTATTATAATTCAGGATTGTAGGCTATTCTAGGTCTCCGCTTCAGAGATATGTATGGATTGAATAGTGAAGGGAGCAACAGTACCTTCATTGAAACATTGATTATTTAGCACTCATTCTGAAGAAACGTTGTTGGCTGTTGATAGGTTGAGCAGGAGCATTGTTTGCTTATTTCCATGTCTCACCTTAGGATGAATACACATAAAGGAAACCCTTATTAACGCTTTTTCAGAGCCCAACATTACCAATAGGATTTAAACGCAATAATGGGGGATGTTGAAGGAAATCCTTATACTGTTTAACACTACATATGCTTTGTGAGTGCGAAGGCACCACACTATTAAATTAACTGATATATTTGCTGTTGCCAGTTACGTAAATTACTTACATTTATATTGCCATATCCTTAATGAGATTGTGAGTGATCGATCGATTTCGACACCACTTTGTAGTTTCTGGTTGACCTGTATTACCAACAGTTAAGGATTTATTGGGTTATTCAAGGAAATTCTAAAGAAATTAATGGAAAATTCTCACCCAGATGCCCAAATAAACTTGCACTAATTAGTCAGAAAGATTGTCTGCATCGACATTTTGCAACTGCTTGTATGGAACTCAATACAATTTAATAACATTTCTCATGAAGTATTTTATGCTGCCAGGTAAACAAACAACACAGACTGCACTGGAACACATTTACCACTAGAGCCACAAACAGTAACAAAGCATACACCCTGCTACTGTTTTTGGTAAACAGCTGAGGGATGGGGCTGGAGAAATGTAACCACTCTCACTCAAATTCATAGACAGAGCTATGGATACAAGGACTGACCATGCATGATATCAAAATGATAGTTTTAACCATGTTTTTAGGCTATGCAGTGTTTGCTACAATGATTATTATTTTTTACAAACAATGAAGTTAAACAGGCTTATATTTTGGGTTCTGATGGGGTAAGCTCATGCGGCCTTTATAAGTTATATTATCCAAGAATCAATAGATAAATATCATTCATAAAAATAAAATAAAAATGGATGTAGCAAACGCAGATTGCCCCTTTAAAATATGACTCAAGGTTATGATTTATAGGTGGGGGTATGGGGGTGGGGGTGGAGAAGATGGAGTCTATCCACAGGTGGTCTGTAATTCCACACAGTAATTACCAAGCAAAGTACATTGTGGGGATTCGGACCACTCAGCCACTCTGTAAGGGCGAGAAAAGGGCGAGCGATGTGGAAAACTGACAGATAGCGTGATGTCCCGTTGAGACTGAGACCATCCCCAGACACTTAAAAACATAGAGGAAGCACTATTATTGTGCATTGTCAAAGGGCCTTTTCACAAGCACTATTAAGTGAAGCTAATGAAAGTGGTGGCAAATGGACAATCTTTCATTCAATTCAAATGCCAATGTGTTTAAAAGGCAGGTGCATCTGCCGTTTTCTCTCAAACTAAGAGTTGTTAGATAGCCAGGAGTTTCAAACAAAAGGTTAGAATGGTAACATTCTTTGTAGTGCATTATCAGAGGACGACTGAACAATCAAAACTAAGATCACAGCTGCACAATTTCTTTGAATTGTTGAGAAATAGGGAGTGTCAGTGTGCTAATGGAAATAAACTATGTCCTAAATCAGATTATTTTGATTAAGCTTTCTGTTGTTTATTGTTGCTAAGCTAAGTTGACTCATGTTGTATCTACTTGTCTTTGTCTCCTCAGATGCAATGGCAACTCCCTCTCCAGCAAAGAGCATGGGTGACCCCGGCATCACCCCACTGTCACCCTCACACATTCAGGTAAGAAACACACCATGGAATATTCTGCATGGCGATAGATCCACAAGAGCTGTATGAAGTCTGTACAAACAACTCCATTACTTTGGAATGAGAGATTGGTATGAGAGATTCACCACACAGTTTTCTTAAGTCGTCAACTAGCCACCAGCTTTTCCATCCAGAATAAATCACACATCTCCTTAAACGTTCTTCGTTTGTTGACTACACTTTTCTGTCCTCTCCACCTCAGCAAAATGACACGGACTCGAATGCCCACACGGGACCTTCGTTCATCGTGGTGGTTGCTGTCGACTTTGGCACCACTTCTAGCGGCTATGCTTATGCCTTCACTAAGGAGCCAGAATGCATTCACACCATGAGGTGAGCCAAGCCAACACTGCAAGGCAGTCGCTGGGAGCAGGAGGAGAGATAGAGAGAGACAGATATAGATTGAAGGAGTCATAGGGAGGTGCACTCAGGTCAGGTTGTTCTGTTCTGTAGCAGAGTCTTATTGAATATTATCTGGCAGGTGATGCAGGAGAGATGGAGAACCAAGAATGCATAGTGCTACTTTCTGTTCTTAGCTCTTATTTAGGCATAATCATACCAGAAGGGTTGCTGATAGCCAGGTTAAAGGTGTTTATCAAAGTATTGCTCCTCAAATGTATTGTCATCATATGGAGATATAAAGGGCCATGGAGGCTTCTAACTGGATTCCGATGACTGTCCTTAAAGGTCAGAAGAAACTGTGTTTGCTCCCTCTCTCACCAGATAATATGCCTCATTGGCAGTCATCATGTCATGGCCCCAGTCAGTGTAATGCTCCTGTTAGCACTGGTAGGAGGAGCTGGTTCATTTTGCTGAGGAACCAGCTAGACTGCAGTCCTGAGACCTGTAGGATCCGCTGACCCATAAAACACACAGGTCAACTCTTTTCCCTGTGTGTGTCAGGCACAAGGGCCAACCTCCATACCTTGCAGTCCCTCACAAAACAGAATGGTTTCATGCACTAGTTTTAAGGGGGCCATGTTTGAACTTTGAATTCATGGCATATCTTAGAGTAGCTGTGGCCAATCTGATCCATAGAGGGCCAGTGTGTTGCAGGTTTTAGTTGATTTGAATTATTTTTCAATTCATAGCTAAACTTCTTGATATTTAACTGGCAATCACCAATAGTTCTAAGGAGTTTTACATAGAGAAACCATGTCTGGAAACTCTATATACAACTTGTTACAGTTGTATGCATGACTTTCCACCAAAATCTGCACTTTCGCTCTTGCAAAATATCAACAGAAAATGGGTAACAAAAAATCTGTCAAAGGTGAAACTCTTAAATTCTGTAATAGTTTAAACAAGGGTTGTGGGTTAGACTACGAGGTTGAACAGTTACACTGAGATGTAGCAATTCTGTGCTGAATAATACACACATCTTTCTATGTCTTGGACATTTCTCTGAGAAATAAGTTGTTTTGCAGGAGTACTAGATAAAATGGAGTGTCATTAATGTCACATCCTTAGGGTGATGCAACACAGAGAGACACATAGAGAGACCCAGACTGGGAGAATGGTCAATTGGGGAATCCTCTCCTGTCATGGGTCATTAACTCCAGACATCAGACAACAGTTGAGCAAGATATTTTTACTGGTGCTACCAGACCTTGCAGCGAAAACAGCCAGAGCCCCAAGATTATTTAGTTTGGATTGAACCATCTGCTCTCCAAATCCTTACATAAACAATAATAAGCCCTCCGAATGGATCTGTAAAGTTTGCCCATACCTCGAGGGAACTCTTTTGGGGTGCTTTAATGTTTTAGTTCTCTTATGATAGAGATTTCAGTGTATAACTCTTTGAATAGAGGAGGAATGCATTGGTGTATTGATAGTGAGCATTAGCCAGTTGCATCTCTATGACATTTACATTAGCATTCCTTCCCTGTCCTCACTGTTGCTGACCCTCACAATGGAGCAGGATTCCAATTACGAATAGAAAACCAACCTGAGATGAAAACAGCTATTCGGACATGGCTGCCAGTTCCTCAAGAACTTCCCAACACTCTTACTCTCTCAACTGACAATATGTTTTATTGTGTGTAGATTTTTTAGATATAATTGCTGCTCATGCTACGTTTGACAGTAAGCCACCCTTTAGTAATATGTAGGCTACAGTACGTGCACTAAGGCTTTTAGATGGTGATTGTCAGAGGTCTGAATATAAGCTTGTCTGGCCTCCCACTGCACGAAATGCCTGTCTTACAGACTGTATGCACAGTGAAAATAAATGCATAATTTACATACTTTCACTCCTTACAGCAATTTTCAGTGAGGCATATTCCAGTCCAGACCATCTAAGGTCATATTATACAGTAGGCTAGCTCTTTTTCACCTGTCATGTTCTTACATGTAGACCAGTTTAGCTATACTGTGAAGTTATTTGCATTCAGCAACAGTTTGAATCACAACAAAAAAAAATATTTCTGTTACAACGACTAACTCGCAGACACTGTCACGTTGAGGCTATGTTGTTGTGACGGAATTCGTTTTGAATAAATAGGCTACAGGTTTGGATTTTTAGATTGTATCAAATTACCATGTCAATTAGGGTATACGTTTTAACCAAACATAGATCATTCAAAAATATTAGGGCTTTATCGAGCGTGATCATGCTGTGATGTGATTTGGAGAAGAATTATCTGTCTATTACATGTGGACATACCATCGGTCTATAGGGCTGTGGTGATGATGAATATTGTCATGACGATTATAAAGTGCTGTTGAATGATAAACACAGATTGTACGCAAAAGAGCCTAAGATAATCTCCATCATATTTGTAATGTTAAAGTTTGTGAGAAAAAATGTTGTACTCAGCAGTGGTGGAAGAAGTACTCAATTGTCATACTTGTGTAAAAGTAAAGATACCTTAATAGAAAATGACTCAAGTAAAAGTGAATGTCACCCAGTAAAATACTACTTGAGTAAAAGTCTAAGTATCAAAAGTAAATGGAATTGCTAAAATGTACATAAGTATCAAAAGTAAAGTACAAATAATTTCAAATTCCTTATATTAAGCAAACCAGACGGCACGATTTAAATGTTTAATTTACGGATAGCCAGGGGAACACTCCAACACTCAGACATATTTTACAAGCAAAGCATTTGTGTTTAGTGAGTCCGCCAGATCAGAGGCAGTAGAGATGACCAGGGATGTTCTCTTGATAAGTGTGCGAATTGGACCATTTTCCTGTCAAAATGTAACGAGTACTTTTGGGTGTCAGGGAAAATGTATGCAGTAAAAAGTACATTATTTTCTTTAGGAATGTAGTGAAGTAAAAGTAAAAGTTGGTAAAAATATAAATAGTAAAGTAAGGTACAGATACAAAAAAAAACTACTTAAGTAGTACTTTAAAGTATTTTTACTTAAGTACTTTACACCACTGGTACTCAGGGCACCATTGGGAATGAGTCCCTGGTCTCAATTGGGCTACCCTGAATAAATAAAAGTTGAGGAAAAATATAAGAATCGTAATTTAGATTAGCAGTGAGCATCCAGTCATTTCCCCCAAATCTTCCAAATGAGTCCCTCACAGCAGGCTTCTCCCCCAGTGAGACTGACCCATAATACTAAATTATAATTGTAATTATTTTGCACTATGGCCTATTTATTGCCTTACCTCCATAACTTACTACATTTGCACACACTGTATATAGATTTTCTATTGTGTTATTGACTGTGCGTTTTGTTTATTCCATATGTAACTCTGTGTTGTTGTTGTTTTTTACGCACTGCTTTGCTTTATCTTGGCCAGGTCGCAGTTGTAAATGAGAACTTGTTCTCAACTGGTTTACCTGGTTAAATAAAGGTTAAATAAAAAATAAATAAAAATAATCTCATCAGGGCACTTAGCAAACATACGCTCATCTCCAAGGGAACCAAACTAATTATAGTTATCCTTCATTTGCCCAGAACTAGTGTAGCACAATTAGTGTGTAGGTCATGTTGTGTCTCTTTGTTAACAACAGCTGGTGCGCGAGCTCTAATATTAAGGAAATCTCGAGGTTCTGCTCGCTTGAGTTAGAATACCTCATGATAAGCAGTAGACCATACTACTTAACAAGAGAGTTTTCATCTATATTTTTTGTACCTGTCTATTTACCACCACAAACCGATGCGGGCACTAAAACCGCACTGAACGAGCTGTATAGGGCCTCAAGCAAACAAGAAAATGCTCATCCAGAGGCGATGCTCCTAGTGGCCTGTGATTTTAATGCAGGGAAACTGAAATCAATTTTAACTCATTTCTACCAGCATGTGCAACTAGAGACGAAAAAACTCTAGATCACCTTCACTCCACACACAGAAATGCATACAAAGCTCTCCCTCGCCCTCCATTTGGCAAATCTGACCATAACTCTATCCTCCTGATTACTGCTTACAAGCAAAAACTCAAACATGAAGTGCCAGTGACGCGCCCAATACGGAAGTGGTCAGATGAAGTGGATGCTAAGCTACAGGACTGTTTCACTAGCACAGACTGGAAAATGTTCTGGGATTCATCCGATGGCATTGAGAAGTTTACCACATCAGTCACCGGCTTCATTAATTTTTACATTTACATTTTAGTCATTTAGCGGACGCTCTTATCCAGAGCGACTTACAGTTAGTGAGTGCATACATTTTTCATACTGGCCCCCCGTGGGAATCGAACCCACAACCCTGGCATTGCAAGCACCATGCTCTACCAACAGAGCTACATACAGTGAGGGAAAAAAGTATTAGATCCCCTGCTGATCCTGCACGCCTGCCCACCGACAAAGAAATGATCAGTCCACAACTTCAATAAGTGCATTGACGACGTCATCCCCACAGTGACCGTATGTACATATCCCAACCAGAAGCCATGGATTACAGGCAACATCCGCACTGAACTAAAGGCTAGAGCTGCCGCTTTCAAGGAGCGGGACACTAATCTGGAAGCTTATATGAAATCCCGCTACGACCTCTGACGAACCATCAAATAGGCAAAGCGTCAATAGAGGACTAAGATTGAATCCTACTAAATCGGCTCTGACGCTTGTTGGATGTGGCAGGGCTTGGAAACTATCATGGATTACAAAGGGAAACCCAGCCGCAAGCTGCCCAGTGACGTGAACCTACCAGACGAGCTAAATGCCTTCTATGCTCGCTTCAAGGTAAGCAACACTGAACCATGCATGAGAGCACCAGCTGTTCCAGACGACTGTGTGATCACGCTCTCTGTAGCCGATGTGGGTAAGACCTTTAAACAGGTTAACATTCACAAAGCCGCAGGACCAGACGGATTACCAGGACGCGTACTCAGAGCATGCACTGGCCAGCAGGCAAGTGTCTTCACTGACATTTTCAACCTCTCCCTGACCCATTCTGTAATACCTACATGTTTCAAGCAGACCATCAAAGTCCCTGGGGCTGAGCCTTCTGTCATCCAGGACCTCTATACCAGTCGGTGTCAGAGGAAGGCACTAAAAATTGTCTGACTCCAGCCACCCAAGACATAGACTGTTCTCTCTGCTACCGCACGGCAAGCAGTACCGGTGCGCCAAGTATGGAACCAACAGGACCCTGAACAGCTTCTACCCCCAAGCCATAAGACTTCTAAATAGTTAGTTAAATAGTTAACCAAATAGCTACCCGGACTATCTGCAACTTTTTTGGATTCATCACATACACTGCTGCTACTGTTTATTATCTATCCTGTTACCTAGTCACTTTATTTCTAGTTATATGTACATATCTACCTCAATTACCTCGTACCCATGCACATCGACTCGGCACTGGTACTCTGTGTATATAGTGAAGTTATCATTTCTCATTGTGTATTTATTATTACTTTTATTATTATGTGTTATTGCTTTTCTATTATTTCTCTATTTTCTTTCTTTCTCGCATTGTTGGGAAGGGCCCGTAAGTAAGCATTTCACTGTTAGTCTACACCTGTTGTTTACGAAACATGTGACAAATAAAATTGTATTTGATTTGACTTGAGGTTCAGAAAGCCATTAATGACTGACAACGAGGGACAGATGAGGACACACTATTTCAGTTTGTGTGATTGACCTTCGACGTGTCTGTTGTCTGTATAAATTTTTGTTCAGGTTGTAATATTGACAGTATACATGAATGCTTTTAAATGCATTCCGCCTTATTCAGACATATTGAGCCATTTGACACAAATAGAGGAAATGCACTGCAGGGAACTGTCTGGTGGTTTCAACAGATGAAAGATAGATGAAACTAAGATGAAAAGGAAACAGATGAAAGATAGAGGCCCACCCACAACCAAATTGGAGAATGTCCCCCTAATAAAGCACAAGATGCCGAAATGTACTCTTTGTTGTAAAAAATTCATCAAATAGCTGCCATAATTCAGTTGCTCATTGGTTTTAATTTTTTTGGTCTTTCCCAGACGCTGGGAGGGCGGTGACCCCGGAGTATCCAATCAGAAGACGCCTACCACCATCCTCCTGACCCCGGACAGGAAGTTCCATAGTTTTGGCTATGCAGCACGTGACTTCTACCATGACCTGGACCCTACCGAGTCCAAGCACTGGCTCTACCTGGAGAAGTTCAAAATGAAACTCCACACCACTGCAGTAAAGACATACACGCATGCACGCACACTTCCCTTATTACTCTGTGTCTGCCCTTGTGCAGGACTGGCAGTTTGGCTGCCCTGAGCTCACTTTGCAGCAAGCTCTTGAAGTTCTGTGTTCTGTGCCAAGTAGGAGGTAAAAGAGCCAGTAACTGTTGGCTCAGGCTAGTGATATTGCACAAATCTCACCATAGATGTATAAATGGACATGATTTGGATAAGGCTGTTCGAGTATGTTGGCTCATTCTGCCTTAGTGTTTATCAGTAGATGTTTGTATGGTGTTTCAATTAAAATATTACGATAACATGGAACTTTTGTTTTCTTTGTCATTGCTTCTTTCCCCCAATCAGAATCTCTCCATAGATACAGAACTCCGTGCAGCCAATGGGAAGAGAGTAAAAGCTATTGATATTTTTGCATACGCTCTGGCGTTCTTCAAGGAGCAAGCACTAAAGGTAAAGTATTAACAGGTTCTACTGCATGGTATATATTTTATGCAAAACAATACACTGAGTGTACAAAACATTAGGAACACCTTCCTAATATTGAGTTGCACCCCCTTTTGCCCTCAGAACAGCCTCAATTCATCGGGGCATGGACTCTACAAGGTGTCGAAAGCATTCCACGGGGATGCTGGCCCATGTTGATTCCAATGCTTCCCACAGTTGTGTCAAGTTGGCTGGATGTCCTTTGGGTGGTGGATCATTCTTGATACACACGGGAAACTGTTGAGCGTGAGAAACCCAGCAGTTTTGCAGTTCTTGACACACTCAATCCGGTGCACCTGGCACCTATTACCATACCCCGTTCAAAGGCTCTTCAATATTTTGTCTTGCCCATTCACTCTCTGAATGGCACACATACACAATCCATGTCTCAATTGTCTCAAGGCTTAAAAATCATTCTTTAACCGGTCTCCTCCCCTTCATCTACACTGATTGAAGTGGATTTGTATGAAAATGTATGCACTCACTAACTGTAAGTCGCTCTGGATAAGTGCGTCTGCTAAATGACTAAAATGTAAATGTAAAAATTAATGAAGCCGGTGACTGATGTGGTAAACTTCTCAATGCCATCGGATGAATCCCAGAACATTTTCCAGTCTGTGCTAGTGAAACAGGTCATTCACCTGGTCAGTCTATGTAATGTTTTGTACACTCAGTGTATATTGAATACATGTATCTGTTATGAATTAGAAATAGCTCTTAATACTCAGTGATAGTGCTGATGTTATGGTGGGTCAGGGAAAAGAGATGCCGTGATTAATGTGATCCCGTGCAGGAGTTAAGTGACCAGGCTGGTGCAGAGTTTGACAACACAGACATCAGATGGGTCATCACAGTGCCAGCGATCTGGAAAATGCCAGCCAAGCAATTCATGAGGGAGGCAGCCTACAAGGTGGGTGGGCCCCTGTCAATCAACACACGTCCATGTGCACACGCATGCAATCACACAGAGAGGCACATAAGCTCATGCATATACACACACAGACACACAGTCAAATATTCCATTCAAAGTACTGTCTGTCTGCTGTAGTCGGCTCTCAACATTTCAAACGACAATGTTGTTGCAGATCAAACCCTCTATCCCCCTCAGTGTAAATTATGCTTCCGCATAGTCTCACCACTAGCTCTTAAGAGGAAAGCCATCTGTCGTTTGACAAAGGTACTGCAGGTACTTGGGAGAGAAAGTGATGACGGTGCATGATTAGCTTTACCGCTGCTGTGATGTATTGCAGATAGGAGAGAGGTGGGGGGCTGCTCTGGAGCTGCAGTGGCAGACAGTTGCAGAACACCCTCCTCCCTCTCGCTCTCTCCTTTATGGGGGACAGACAGACTGATAGAGGAGAGGGAGGGGAGCTGGAGGGAGCCACCGGGGAAAGGGATTACTTCATTACAATGAGTTGTACCAAGAGAGAAGGATGAGGATAGGGCAGTGGGACAAGATATAGCAGGGAGAGGGTGCATACTGAGGATGAGAATAGAAGAAGAGAATAATAATAATATATATATATATATATATATATATATTAAAAAGAGAATGAAGTGTCTATTGTGAGAATTCTACAATACAGACATGCCAGCTTACAGCATCACAGCATAGTAACACAGGCAGGGTTGTTTCTTTCCCCCAGAGGAGAAGAGTGGTGGGAGGTAGCTGCAGAGCTGTATGATGAGCACATGGTAGTATGGGTGTGGTACTCTGTGTAGACTATAGAGGAATGTCAGGGGAGAGGCCTGGAGGAGTGGGTGTGTGCGGAGGGAGGGGTGGGGGTACAATCCATGAGAGAAGGTCAAATCCCACTGGGCAAAAACTGGTTGAATCAACGTTTCCACGTCATTTCAACAGAAAAATTATACTTGAAGACGTTAAATCAATGTGGAAAACTGATTGGATTTGTAAAAAGTCATCAACGTAAGGGAATTTTGAAAAAGTACGAAAATGTATGCACTCACTGGATAAGAGTGTCTGCTAAATTAATTGTGTATTTTTCCCCACCCAACTTTTAACCTAAATCCAATGACATGGTGACATGTTTTGTTGATTTCACATTGAATTAATGTTAGTTGACTCAAATGTACAAATGTAAATCCAAACGAGATGTTGAAATGCCGTCTGAGCCCAGTGGGATGGGTGTGTCAGTCTGTCTGAGGCTGCAGCCGGCAGAGAGAGACACCACCCTCCCCTCTGCAGTGAACAAAGAGGATGGGCTGGGGAGAGAGAGGGAGAAGGGGGGAGAGAGAAATAGAGGGAGACGGGGAAGGGGAAGGAGAGATGTGAGAGGCGGCGAGACGGAGAGGAGAGAGGCTTTTTAGATGGCTTGATCACTTGATATCTGCAGAGGGGATTGAGGCACAGTAAGAGGGGGAGGATGTTCGGGGGGGGGGGGGGGGCAGTGGCGGTGGGTAAGGCTGCGTATCTGCAGTGACTCAGCATCCTCTGGCTTGATCATTTATTATTGGTACTGGGTGAAGCAGGCACACCCCTCCCTTACCCACTCCCTCTCCTCCACTCCTTCACCACGACATGCAGATCTCACAGAGCGGAGAGATGTGATGCAATGCTCAGATTTTATACGTAGTCTGTTTTATGTGTGTATTGTGGACAGAAACACAAACCAGCCAGCACAGCATGTGTTGATCGATATGTCTCCATTGTTCTGTTGATCGATAGGACTCCTTTGTCTCCATTGTTCGAATGCTGTAAAAGCAGTGGTTGCTTGAGAAAATGTAATAGCTTTAGGCAATTCCTTTTATGTTAGGATTGCATGATTTATCCCTTGAATATTTTCATGTTCAAATCTGTGGCTTTCCCAGATCCCCATACTTTCCCCCAAGCTATTTATCATTTAGTAGTGAACTAGATTGTTTTATATTAATTATGGTTGTGTTAAATGTTTCCAGCTGTAGATGGTATTTACACAGTATTGTATTACTGTATAAGTGTATGTAGACAGTATGTTTGCTTTTAGAAAATTAATTATTTGAGTAGTGATGGCCATATTGTCTTACTTCCTATTTTGAGGTATCGTGAATCCTTAGCATACCCTGAATACTTAGCAATGAGGGATGTCCACAGTAACTTACTAGGACAGTTATTCACAATGCAAGTTTTATTGGGGCCCTGTTAAGGAAAAAGCAGATGTCCTTTATTTCCTGTCTGTGCTCTGCCTTCCTCTAGGCTGGTCTGGTTCCCCTTGACAACCCAGAGCAGCTGATCATCGCCCTTGAGCCTGAGGCAGCCTCCATCTACTGCCGTAAGCTCCGCCTCCACCAGATGATTGACATTGGCACCAAGACCACCCAGAACGGTTTCAGCCCCGCTGAGAATGTGGGGGCAGGGATGACCCAGGGTAAATCTGACCCCTGCCACCCCACAGGCCAATCACAATATGAGCATCACATTCCACATCACAATAATGTACCATAATAACATTTTGCATTCCCATGTGACGATTTCATACAGTATGTGCCTCTCAAATTAATATTGGACTATAGATTGGTTATTGGTTGACAAGCATGCTTATCATTCCAAAAGTGTAAAATCTGTGTTTTTGTCTGTTGAGTTTAGTCTGGATAACTTTATTCAGCATGGAGGGGTAGTAGTTGGCCGGGGAGAACCATCTTCCAACTGAAGTCTGGTCACAGGTTATTGCAGTGATATTGTAGGTTTTTTATTGTGGTATTGTAAGTTTATGTAAAATGCTGCTAATAGTCAAACAACCAGTGCCTTCAATTCATCTTAAACATACATTTCCTCTCAACGGATAACATGTATGGGACAATATCCTCAGCTCTAACATCACTTTTATTTTCATATTCAGACACTAACAATGCATGACAAATTTCAAATAATGTCTATTTGCTTTTGCTTCTTTTAACTAAAATGCCCTTGAATACTATGGGAAAATTGGCCTATGTAATGTATATTTCAATTACTTGTTGTATTCAGGATGTAACATGGCAAATATACTGATATCTGATTGTACAGAAGGTCATTCAAACAGTAAATAATGGCACCTTATAACTGGTCCATATTATCCAATGAAATCCAATCTAATATTTGACAGCATGTGAATCAGCAATAGCAAATGACTGTAAACTCCCTCAAGCCTTTCCTCTGTCTCACTCATCACTCTTTTGTTTCAGGAAATAGTTTTTGTTGTCCGTAGATGATCTAAACCAGAGATTTAGAAGCTTAGTGCCTTCAGTCCTATCTCTCTATGCTATTGACTGGGGATATGACTGAATGCCACTCACAGTAGCATTCACTTGCATGCATGGAAATGATTAATCTCCCCTTTCTTTTAGTTCATCAGCTCATTTACCTTATGCATATTGAAGAGGTCAAACTTCCATAAATGTTTTGTCCCTCAAAGATGGAAATAGGATACTTTACTCTACCTCAAGGCAAAGTTTCCTCCATAATGTTCTCCATCCCTGAGTTCTATCAAAGAAAGGCAGATTGTAATAATGTGACATTTATTTCAATTTTCTCTCTTAGAGGTTGTATCAGCATTTATGGAGATTGTTGATCTTTGACAGTGTATTACACCTATGTTGGTTCAATTGACGCATTGTGTCATCAGCATCAATCAAAGATGTCATAGACCTATTGATGTAATAGGTGCTGGGAGCCCATGGAACATGGATTGAATCCAGAGGAATCATGCCCATAGGGGGCACAGGGGCACGTGCCCCTTCAGATTTGTCGTGTTGAAAAATGAAAAATAATTGTACATTTTTTTTTCTTCTCCTTTTTTTCTTCTCTGTAATACTACTAGCCACCTAGAAATGTTATGAAGTTGGCTTTAGCTAGCCCGGATGAATTCCCAATCTCTTAACCTCATAACTACTACATTTCAGGCTATCAATCAAGTCTTAGCTGGCAAGGTTGGTAGACTTTAGAAAAGCAAGCAATTACGAAATGTACTGAATAAGACTCACATTCCTTTCAATCATTTACCCAGATTTTAGCAGAGATGCAGAGAAGCATATTTCCTTTAAAAAAATTACCACCAGTCAGGAGGATACAGACAGCTCAAGGGGTATGCTTAGATATGCAGAAAAATAAACATATTTCTGTTATAGAATTAAGCATAATGATTATGGATCTAGATTGCAGTAAAAAGCAGTTTCAAGTGTTTGAAAAATGCAAAATTCTCCAACTTTAGTACGGTGGGGCCTCCCTCTGGACCACCCCCAGCCATCCTCATGTACTTTGTGCCCCCTCAGATTTTTGGGGTTCATGACGCCCCTGATTGAATCCATTCTTCCTGGTGTCTGTGACCTTGGTGAGAGGCTGACATTTATCCAAGGTGTCAATTCAAAACTATAGGCTCCAGTCCTTGAATGCCAAGTATTTTATGTCAAACATATAATTTATACCATCTGTCAAACATATAATTTATACCATCTGTCAAACATATCATTTCCTGAATGGGATTCACTTGTTATAGTAGTACTGTAGCTTTAGTTTGAATTCAATATGATTCGCCCACACATTCAGTAGAGGGAACCCTGTAGGACAACAGTGCACATGGTATACTGTCTTTAATAAGAACTGAGATGAGAGATGATATACTGTACTGTATAGACTATTATTGTTGATTCTGAATACTCACTGCAACAATATGAAAACAGTATTCAATCTGTAATTGGACACTTGTTGCCTTACCGATCTTGGATGATGGTCATTGCATTGATGGAATGTTCATTGCCTCCGTCATGGTTTACAATGCTCTAACCGCATGCTGTAACAAGGCTGAAGGCTATTGGTGTCTCTTTGGAGCAGATGTGTTCCTATGTTTTTCCTTTATAGACTCTCTAATGGCCTGTTTTAGGCTGTGTCTGGTCAGCTTAGGTCTATGATTATGGCCACATACTTTAAGACTAGCAGAGTTTGTATTTTTCCTATATCTCTACATTCCTGTAAAATGCTTAGTTTATTGTCCAAAATGGTGCTCAAAGTGTCCCAAGGCTATATACAGGATTTCAGAACTAGCGAGGACAATGTAGCACCATCCAACGGATATATCTTCTACTAATAATACTTATGGAATATTTAGTTGGTTTGAAATAAACCCTGTGATGAATAGTCAGATTGTGTGTAGGCTTACCGCCTTGCCTCCAGTAGCAATGCAGAGGTCAGAGAGAGGTTTGAAAAAAAGAACAGGGCACAAGTCAATATCCCCAAGTCTAATGCTGGGGTTTCCAACAGGATGTTACAACTCTTTTCCAATTTAGGTATTTTTGTGTTGGAAGAGAAGTGTACTCTCTGTCCAGCTGCTGCTGTTTCCTCCTTACATTAACTTTCCCATAATGGTCGCTCCTCTACTCGAGTAGCTTCCACCATCGCTAACTCACAACATTCTCACAGCGTTCCTGGAAGGTTATTCCTTCATTTTGTTGTCTGTGTTTTGACATGTTGATGGAAGAGGTAATGGTGAGATAGATAGACCCCACTCTCACGCCTTCCTGAGAACTAATAGGAGTAGGAAATTCCTCCTTCCCCTGTTGGAGGAAATGTCCTTCTGACATCTTGATCGCTGTGATCATGCTACTACTACTGTCTCTTCCTGTTTTCAACCAGTGATTTCAAGGTCCATATGTGATTAATCCCATCATTAGCCCATAAGTACTGATCATAAGAGCATTCTCCAGTTTTGAACATTGAGTGTAGAATGTCCTTTACTTGGCCAGTGTTCTCTCATCCCTTTGCAGCTAACATGTTTTTTTCCCTATGTAGGAAGAACATTTCATCAGCGAATATAATGATAAAGCACAGTTTCAATATGAATACATAAACTAAAACACTAGAAACTGTCAACACAGTTTCTCTGAGATGGGTACCTGTGATTAAGCCATATAGACAGTTCTAGAGTTCTATCGCTGACTTCACTCCTAGACATCATATAGCCCTACCATCCTGTCGCTTGACTTACATTGTATGACCCACACAGCTTCACCAAAGCGCTTTCATCCTTCTCACACTCGGCCATTCTCTTTCTGTCAATAACCAGCCAAGGAGCATGTCCGAAGCAAACGGCAGAGCCGCACCTTTTTGGTGGAAAATGTCATAGGGGAGCTTTGGTCGGAGCTGGAAGAAGGTAGAGTCTTTTTCTCTCTTTTACACTTCTGTTTCTCTCTCCCTCCTTCCTCTCTCTACATTATTTGCTCTTGCTGTTTCTTATACTGCTGATCATGCATCGTGCTGGTTATTCACAACCCTAAAAAACAACAACATGCTTATTGAGTGGGAGGATCTACTCTACTTAATATCTTGTTTTTGCTAATAACCTCATGCTTTTACAGTCTAATCGATTACATTTCTCTACTAATCAAATGCTTCCTGTAGGTTTGGCTGGATGTTGACATGTCAGTGATCATATGGTTGTTTACATCAGTGGTTCCCAACCAGGGGTACTATGACCCCTGTGGGTACTTGGCCTATCCACAGGGGTTACTTGAGAAGACTTATGAGACCATAGGCTTACTGGTAAAATGCACATGAGGGGGTACTTCAGGGGTACTCCAGGCAGAGCAAAATTCAGTTGGTGGTACAGTAAGCGATAAAAGTTGGGAACCACTGGTTTACATGATCACATGGTGATTACTGACCACTGTGACAGTGTGGGCATGGTGATAGTATAGGTTATCTACTGTATGAAAGGACTGAAATCCAGTATAGCAATTGGTTTCTCCTCTATCTCCCTCCTCCATGCCCCTGTTGTCCCAGTGTTATAGTAGCTACACTGTACCAGGTCGCCAGTACCCACTTGGGATTTTAGGGCGTGACGGTATCATGACTACTCGTGTTCAACATCCTCTGAGTGTGTCCCAAAAACAGAAGCTGCTTTTAGAGGAAAATGTCAGAAGTCATGCTTCAGAGGCGCTATTGGCTACCGCTATAGTCTTCTGCCCCTTGTCCTCCAATGACGTTTCTCTCCATGTTGCCAGGTGACCGCTATGTGGTGGTTGACTGTGGTGGCGGAACGGTTGACCTCACGGTCCATCAGATACAGCTCCCTGAGGGACATCTCAAGGAGCTCTATAAGGCCTCAGGTACAGAGACTTCTCAATGCTCATATAGCAGCTCTCGCTGTATGCATGTTACACTGAGATGGATCTAAGCAGTGTCCTCAATACAACAACAATCACATTATTCTGGCTGTTATATTACATTGTGGGGTTGATGCTTGGACTCCTAGACTAAAAAACACTTTCATAGCAGAAGTCTAGCAGTAGGCTTAATCAGGGTCCATGCAACCACCTCTATGAGTTCTATGGACTCTTGAGTCATTTGAGCTGTTATTGACCGACACTAATTTTCTCCTCCTCAGGCGGTCCTTATGGCTCCATTGGTATTGACTATGAGTTTGAGAAGCTCCTGTGTAAGATCTTCGGGCCCGACTTCATCGACCAGTTTAAGATTAAGCGGCCGGCTGCCTGGGTGGATCTGATGATCGCGTTTGAGTCCAGGAAACGGGCAGCGGCCCCGGACAGGACCAACCCCCTGAACATCAACCTGCCCTTCTCCTTCATTGACTACTACAAGAAGTTTAGAGGTCACAGTGTGGAACACGCCCTGCGCAAGAGCAAGTGAGTGTGTGTATGATTGGGGAGGTTAGAGGATTGGTACAGGATACAGCATACACTGAAATTCTAGAGCTCAATCAACTCCCTATTGAGTGATTACACAATTACCCAAACATGTGTCTGAATAAGTATGTCCTAGCTGTCAGATGTAATATACACTGAGTGTACAAAAAATAGGAACACCTGCTCTTTCCATGACATAGACTGACCAGGTGAATCCAGGTAAAAGCTACAATCCCTTATTGATGTCACCTGCTAAATCCACTTCAATCAGTGTAGATGAAGGGGAGGAGACAGGTAAAATGATTTTTAAGCCTTGAGACAATTGAGACATGGATTGTGTATGTGTGCCATTCAGAGGGTGAATGGGCAAGACAAAATATTTAAGTGCCTTTGAACAGGGTATGGTAGTAGGTGCCAGGCGCACCGGTATGAGCGTGTCAAGATCTGCAACACTGCTAGGTTTTTCAGGCTCAACAGTTTCCTGTGTGCATCGTTTTGGAAACTAGGCGTATATAGCGCGTCACTACTTCACAGGAGCGCCATTTGAACATAAACTTTATTTTATTTTTACATGTTCAAATATTACACGTTTCTAATTTTGTCAGAAAGTCATTTTCATTTCAAGTTAAAGTGTACTGTTAGCTGGCTGGCTAGCTAGCTAACGTTATGTGTATGATCTGTGTAGTAATATTATTAGTATCTCAGAGCCATTTGCATTGGTAGTTATAGCCTAATGTTAGCTAGCTAACATTGCACCTGGTTGGTTAGCTACCTGCAGATTCATGTAGGGTAGTAACGTTATGAGTCGGGATTTTGGTTCATTGTTTAGCTAGCTACATGTCTAAAAAAAAGACTCCACAATGCAAGTAACTATTTCAATAGAATGTTTATGATGTCACTGCGACAACTGTCAATAGACGTAGCTGGTAAATTCTCTCTGGCTATCTACGCCGATTTCAGAGCACTCTCTATGAGTGTGCCAAAGGGCAGAATAACTGACATATTTACGAACGCTCAACACACGTACAAACATGGCCGGTGTCAGTAAACGTTAGCAAAAAAGCGTTTTGACATTTTTTCCAGCAGCACAGTTGCAGTCACCAACGCTCTGGATAACATAAAAACAGCCTAATCAGCTCTGCTAGGGCGAGTAAAATGGTCAGAGTGAGCTGTTCTCTCATTTGTGTCTGGAAGTAACTAGCAAGCTAGCCAACTATAGCCAGTTAGCTTGGGTGCTTGACTGCTGTTGTTAGTCAGAACGCTCGGATCAACCCTACTCCTCAGAGAAAGAGTACAGATTACATTTACACCCGTAATATAAACCAGCCTTTAGACTTGAAATCTTTTTTTGTTTAGTACATAGCCTCACATGTGAACCTTAAAGAGATGGATGGGGGTAAATCTTAAGAGGGTGTGAACGATGCTGAATGGCTGTCGACAAAAGAGCTCTCCAGTAGGTACCAAAACATTCAAGGGCGAACTATTAGGAAGTTATGTTTTGTACACTCAGTGTATGTTTACTTGGTGTATGTATCCATGTGAATACACACAAGCTTCCTCTGCACAGATTTCAATTCCTTTAACCAAACATTTAATGACCAACTTGCGACATATGACCATATATTATCCATTATATACCAGGGAATTTAGAATTCACCACCTTTCCCCCTCCACCACCTTACAGTCAGCTCATTAAGAGACAGCAGGCGTCTCAATACACATGCAAGACCTTACTGTTAACAGTCAGACTAGAGGGTGGTATCAAAGTGAGACAGGGTCTTTATATAAGCAAGCTTTATTTTAATGTTATTCAGTCATTTTTTGTGAATTCAAGTGCACAATACTGCACCAAACATTAATTACATACTACTGTGTGTAGGCAGAAAGAAAGCATTTCAGACTTGTCTTGGCTGAAGTAATTTGAACTGAATGAACCTGAGTGAGAATACTTAGTCAGCTAATTACACCAGTCTAGTGTATTGTATACACTAGACTATTGTCTAACTTTGATACCACCCTGTGGTCTGGGTGTTAACAGTCATTTCTTGCATGCATACATATTTTCATCCCATATTAAACTCATGGGACCCTTAAAGACATTCAGATTCCCAAAAACCTGCGCCTCCAGCAGTCCTGTGGGTCCTCTGACTCAGTCATAACTGTAAATAATTTAGTCTGTCTCACTCTGCTGAAAAAGCCTTTGTGTAAAATAGTGTGTGGCAAGCACACGCACTCACAAACACCTTGGAGAATACTCAAACGATACCAGATGGATTCTATACACTCCTATAAGATATGTTACAATAAGAGCAGAGTGAGGGGAAGGAGTACATATAGGAAAACACTGGTCTCATGAAAGAAACTCACGTGAGCTACTGCATGGAGACAGACACCACTTATCCATTGTTCTCCTACAGACATAAAGGCAACCCACCAACTCAATTCAGTCTAATGTAGCAACATTTTAATATACAGTGGGGAGAACAAGTATTTGATACACTGCCGATTTTGCAGGTTTTCCTACTTACAAAGCATGTACAGGTCTGTAATTTTTTATCATAGGTACACTTCAACTGTGAGAGATGGAATCTAAAAAAATCAAGAAAATCACATTGTATGATTTTTAAGTAAATCATTTGCATTCATTTTATTGCATGACATAAGTATTTGATCACCTACCAACCAGTAAGAATTCCGGCTCTCACAGACCTGTTAGTTTTTCTTTAAGAAGCCCTCCTGTTCTCCACTCATTACCTGTATTAACTGCACCTGTTTGAACTCGTTACCTGTATAAAAGACACCTGTCTACACACTCAATCAAACAGACTCCAACCTCTCCACAATGGCCAAGACCAGAGAGCTGTGTAAGGACATCAGGGATAAAATTGTAGACCTGCACAAGGCTGGGATGGGCTACAGGACAATAGGCAAGCAGCTTGGTGAGAAGGCAACAACTGTTGGCGCAATTATTAGAAAATGGAAGAAGTTCAAGATGACGGTCAATCACCCTCGGTCTGGGGCTCCATGCAAGATCTCACCTCGTGGGGCATCAATGATCATGAGGAAGGTGAGGGATCAGCCCAGAACTACACGGCAGGACCTGGTAAATGACCTGAAGAGAGCTGGGACCACAGTCTCAAAGAAAACCATTAGTAACACACTACGCCGTCATGGATAAAAATCCTGCAGTGCATGCAAGGTCTCCCTGCTCAAGCCAGCGCATGTCCATGTCACGATCGTCTAACATAGAGGACCAATGCGCAGCGTTGAAGGTGAACATAGTTTATTACTATAAATGATCACACGATCAAAAACACAAACGAAAACGTGACGTCTACGGTTTCACACAAACCGAAATGAACAAGAAACCACAAACACAACGTGAACGACAGATAGTTAAATATGGCTCCCAATCAGAGACAACGAGCCAACAGCTGACACTCGTTACCTCTGATTGGGAGTCACTCAAACAAAGAAATACAATAACCTAGAACCCACAACAAAACATAGAAACTAACACCCTGGCTCAACATACGAGAGTCCCCCGAGCCAGGGCGTGACAGTACCCCCCCCTAAAGGCGCGGACTCCGAACGCGCCAACGAAACACAACAGGGGAGGGTCTGGGTGGGCACTCCGCCTAGGCGGCGGATCCGGCTCCAGTGGAACAGGCACGTGCCGTGCCGGACCGACGACGCACACCACTGGCTTGGTGTGGGGAACAGGCACGGGCTGTGCTGCACTGACGACGCACACCACTGGCTTGGTGTGGGGAGCAGGAGCGGGCCGGACAGGGCTGACGAAACGCCCCACAGACTTGGTGCTGGGAGCAGGAATGGGCCGGACCGGGCTGGCGACGCGCACCACAGACCTGGTGCGGAGAGCAGGAACGGGCAGAGCCGGGCTGACGAGACGCACCACAGGCTTGATGCGGGGAGCAGGAATGGGCCGGACTGGGCTGGCGACGCGCACCACAAACCTGGTGCGGGGAGCAGGAACGGGCAGAGCCGGGCTGACGAGACGCACCACAGGCTTGATGCGGGGAGCAGGAATGGGCCGGACTGGGCTGGCGACGCGCACCACAGACCTGGTGCGGGGAGCAGGAACGGGCAGAGCCGGGCTGACGAGACGCACCACAGACTTGATGCGGGGAGCAGGAATGGGCCGGACTGGGCTGGCGACGCGCACCGCAGGTTCGGTGCGGGGAGCAGGAATAGACCGGACCGTACTGGGGACACACACCACTGGCTCTACACCGGGATCTGGAACGGGCCGGACCGGACTGGCAACACACGCCAGTACCTCTCGCCGTGCCTCTACTTCCTCCATCCCCTCTTCGACCAGTGGCCCCCGTAACCCGGCGGCCTTCTCCGGCAACCCACTGGGCCGCTCTATCGCGGCCTCCTGCTGGTCCGACGTCGTGAGCCCCCCCCTAACAATTTTCGGGGCGTCTCTCCTACCCGTGGACCACGTCTCCATATCCCTCGCCAGCTTCTCGCCCTTCTGCCATAATGTCAAGCCCTTGTCTTCCTCCCTCGGCTTGACCCAGTCCAGGAGGGGAAGGAGATCTGTGAGGGATCTCCCTGGCGATGGCTCCTGAACACGCTGCTTGGTCCCATCTTGGTGGTTTCTTCTGTCACGATCGTCTAACATAGAGGACCAATGCGCAGCGTTGAAGGTGAACATAGTTTATTACTATAAATGATCACACGATCAAAAACACAAACGAAAACGTGACGTCTACGGTTTCACACAAACCGAAATGAACAAGAAACCACAAACACAATGTGAACGACAGATAGTTAAATATGGCTCCCAATCAGAGACAACGAGCCAACAGCTGACACTCGTTACCTCTGATTGGGAGTCACTCAAACAAAGAAATACAATAACCTAGAACCCACAACAAAACATAGAAACTAACACCCTGGCTCAACATACGAGAGTCCCCCGAGCCAGGGCGTGACAGTCCAGGCCCGTCTGAAGTTTGCCAATGACCATCTGGATGATCCAGAGGAGGAATGGGAGAAGGTCATGTGGTCTGATGAGACAAAAATATAGCTTTTTGGTCTAAACTCCACTCGCCGTGTTTGGAGGAAGAAGAAGGATGAGTACAACCCCAAGAACACCATCCCAACCGTAAAGCATGGAGGTGGAAACATCATTCTTTGGGGATGTTTTTCTGAAAAGGGGACAGGACGACTGCACCGTATTGAGGGGAGGATGGATGGGGCCATGTATCGCGAGATCTTGGCCAACAACCTCCTTCCCTCAGTAAGAGCATTGAAGATGGGTCGTGGCTGGGTCTTCCAGCATGACAATGACCCGAAACACACAGCCAGGGCAACTAAGGAGTGGCTCCGCAAGGAGTGGCTCCGTAAGAAGCATCTCAAGGTCCTGGAGTGGCCTAGCCTGTCTCCAGACCTGAACCCAATAGAAAATCTTTGGAGGGAGCTGAAAGTCTGTATTGCCCAGAGACAGCCCCGAAACCTGAAGGATCTGGAGAAGGTCTGTATGGAGGAGTGGGCCAAAATCCCTGCTGCAGTGTGTGCAAACCTGGTCAAGACCTACAGGAAACGTAGGATCTCTGTAATTGCAAACAAAGGTTTCTGTACCAAATATTAAGTTCTGCTTTTCTGATGTATCAAATACATATGTAATGCAATAAAATGCAAATTAATTACTTAAAAATCATACAATGTGATTTTCTGGATTTTTGTTTTAGATTCCGTCTCTCACAGTTGAAGTGTACCTATGATAAAAATTACAGACCTCTACATGCTTTGTAAGTAGGAAAACCTGCAAAATCGGCAGTGTATCAAATACTTGTTCTCCCCACTGTATATATATATTTTTTACATTGGATGAAAGTATAGACTCAGAGCTACAACATGGTATATCATACAGTGCATTTGAGGAACAATGGGAAAGTAATTCTGCTTTGTATGTTGATAAACTTGTAACCCCACTTTTGAGAAAATGACCCTTTGTCTACACCCATTCATCATCGTTCACACCCTCTTAAGCCTTAGCCCCACCCATCTCTTTAAGGATCACATGTGAGGCCATGTGCTAAACAGAGTAAGTAAGGTAGTGTAGTAAACAACCAAAGATTTCAAGACTAAAAGTGGTGAAAGTAATAGCAAAAAGTAGTAGTAAAAATACACTATCTAGTCCTTGGCCTATATCCTAATCTGACTTTGGTGCAGGTCATGTTGTTCTTCACATTACCATCTCTGGTAAAGACAAGTGTATTTGTCACATGCACAGGATACAGAAGGTGTAGGCAGGTAGCTTAGTGGCGGCAGGTAGCTTAGTGGGTAAGAGCGTTGTGCCAGTAACCGAAAGGTCGCTGGTCCCCGAGCTGACTAGGTGAAAAATCCCTTCGATGTGCCCTTAAGCAAGGCACTTAACCCTAATTGCTCCTGTAAGTCGCTCTGGATAAGAGCGTCTGCTAAATATGTAAAATGTAAAATGTGTAAACAGTACAGTGAAATGGTTACTTGCATAGTAGCAATATCAAAAATAGACTGTCTAAATTGATGCGTCATGTGAAAGAAATTATATAACCACCTCCCAGCCGCATCTAGCTAAGTGGATGGGTCACTATAGTCTAGACATGTACACATGTTCATTAAATACAATAGATGGCCGTAATCACCCCTAGATACACCTGGCTAACTTAATAGGTAATGTAATCATCTGGCGGAGTGTAGTCTTTTGTTTAGACACGTAGCTAGCTAGCTAGCTAGCTAGCTAAACAATGAACCATAATCCACACCATACAGTACAAACGGATTGTGATAGCTAGCCACCATGCATGAAATGCTGTGGTATGAATCTGCAGGTAGCTAAAGCTAACCAACTAGCTAGATAACATTAGGCTATAACTAGCAATGCAAATGGCTTTCTGAGATACAAATAATATTACTACACAGCGAGCCAGCAAGCTAACGTTCGCTAGCTAGCTAACAGTATGCTTTAACTTCCAATTAAAATGACTTTCTGACAAAATTAGAAACGTATACTATCTGACTCTTACCCATATACATGGATGAACGCTTGTTTGGCCCATTGTGTCAAGTCACTCCGGTTCACACTGACTGTGTACAGAAAGTAGTCCATCACAACCTTTTCCCACTGATCTTTGTCGATAGTGCCTGCTAAATTCAGGGCAGCAATGTTGTTGAGAGCAGTAGCAACACTTTTGCAGTTCTCCATGGCTAACATATTTTTCAAAAAAGCTGCAGTAGCAAGGACACATACGTTCAAATGCCTCTCCTGTGAAGTAGTGACGTGCGACATACGCCTAGCTTCCTGAAACGGGTCACAAATGTATTCCATAGAGAGCTCACTGTGTTAAATCTCCATATAGATAATATACCAAGCACAAGGGGTAAAACGTAGTGGTAGACACAGTAATTTCCTTATATCCATTCAGGGGACTGTAAAAAAAAGGTTTTGTTTCCTAAAGACATCATAGGTCACATACTGTACTGACGGAGAAGGAAGTCTGGTTCAGAGTGCATTGTATCAGTGCTTTTACAGTAGCCTACCAATCTACTGGTAATCAGAGCAGGGTTAATAATGGCATGCTTATCTATCCTCTCTTGTCTCTGCAGTGTGGACTTTGTGAAGTGGTCCTCCCAGGGCATGCTGAGAATGAACCCTGATGCCATGAATGCCCTCTTCAAGCCCACAATAGACCACATCATTCAGCACCTCAGTGAGTAGCAGCTCTTACTAATACAAAACCTATTTTTTTGGCACACTGGGGGACTACATATACTGTACAGTATACCAGTAGTATCTGAGAGATGTAGTCTGTGACTATTATACAGTAGGAAGCTGTCCATGTGTTTGCCTGCAAGGGTTGAAACCTGAAAGTCAAAGCAGGATGAGTAATAGACACAGTGTGGAAATGGGTGTCACTCATCCATTTTAATGAGCTGAGATTTCTGAACTTACATTCAAAATGGCTGAAGTTCCCAATGTTTCCTTGTAACTCGCAAATCTTGGGTTTAGCAATACTGCAGCCTATCTAATGTTAATCTAAGGTGTTGGCCCTGCTGCTGTCTTGAAAAAGAGACATATCTCAACTGATCTAGGTGAATAAAGCATGATTCTGTTTTCAGTTTGGATCATATGCATCTCTATACTGTATGTGAGCGGTCCACCCAGGCTTAATTGAAAGCATTCCCATCCCCATTCCTAGTTCAATGGAGTTGAGATCCCAGAAGAGACATTTGGGGAGTGCACACTGCACCCCTAAGGGTTCCTCTCACTGTACATTGAGCAGTCTACCCAGTACTCCCACCTAAAATAAACCAACGTACTTCAATAATGCATGCAGTGGTTTTGGACAGAGTAAGAAGTTGGTCACATTACTGAATTCCTAGAGTAAACAACTTGTTTGTTGAAGTTGTTGTTTTTAATGGTGTTACTAATGGAATAACACATAGCCATCTGCTAATGCCTGCAGAAAATTGACATTTTAATAATGCTTCACATACTGTAGAGTAGAACTCCTGTTGAATAACAACTCTCTCCCTTTCAGCTGATCTCTTTGATAAGCCGGAGGTGTGTGACATCAAGTTCCTGTTTCTGGTGGGCGGCTTCGCTGAGTCGCCCCTGCTGCAGCAGGCTGTGCAGAACATGCTACATGGCCGCAGCCGCATCATCATCCCCCACGACGTGGGCCTCACCATCCTCAAAGGGGCCGTCCTCTTCGGCCTGGACCCCAGCGTCATCAAGGTGCGCCGCTCGCCCCTCACCTACGGTGTGGGCGTCCTCAACCGCTATGTGGAGGGCAAGCACCCACCTGACAAGATGCTGGTGAAGGACGGCATGCGCTGGTGCACCGACGTCTTCGACACCTTCATCGCCTGCGACCAGTCCGTGGCCCTGGGCGAGACGGTGAAGCGCAGCTACACGCCCGCCAAGCCCAGCCAGCAGGTCATCGTCATCCACATCTACTGCTCGGAGAAGGAGGGCGTGGGCTTCATCAGCGAGCCGGGCGTGAGGAAGTGTGGCACGCTGCGGCTGGATGTGACCGGTACGGAAAGCACTGCAGCACGCCGTGAGATCCAGACGCACATGCAGTTCGGGGACACGGAGATCCGGGCCATGGCGGTGGACGTGGCCACCTCGCGTACCGTCAAGGCTAGCATTGATTTCCTTACTCAGTAAATAGGGTGACAGAACCAGAGGGTCAAAGGGTCATAGGAAGTGAAACCTCCAGCAGCACAGCACACACACAATGAACCAGGGGACAGTGGCTAGAATGCTGTAGCAGTATATTGTTCTTTAGGCCTGTTCAAATTCCCTGTAGCATGATAAGTGCTAGTTTGTTTCTGCTTTAGCTAACTCCTTGGTCAGAAACAAACTAGCACTCAGGTTTCATACCATCTGTGTATGTATTGTGTCTAGTCTTAAATGCAGGCTATATTGATGTGCTCTGCTCTAGAGATCTACACAGAGTTGCAGATATTGCTACTGATACATGCAGCCTTGTTTCAGGTTCATTGTGTGTTATCTGTTGTGTGCTGTTTTAGGTCATGGTAGATGGATACTGTCGTGGATACTGTAGTACTCCTCTTACAGTTACAACACCATGCTATGACACAATGCTGCACAAAGCTCAGTGTCCTCTTCAACCCTGGCTCATGGGACCGTATTTTCATAACTCCTATGATTATTAATCCCATGTAGCTCAGTTGGTAGAGCATGGCGCTTGCAACGGCGGGGTTGTGGGTTCGATTCCCACGGGGGGCCAGTATGAAAAAAATAAAAACATGTATGCACTCACTAACTGTAAGTCGCTCTGGATAAGAGCGTCTGCTAAAATGACAAAAATTAAAATTAAGACATTTAAAACCGAACCCCTGGTGCTTCCATGAACAGCAGTTATATACATTATCATTCAGATACTTAACCTACTCATCAGAACAGAGTTTTATTAAGTCAAGGTTGGAGAGTACCTGAGATGACGAGGGAAGGCAGTGGTTCTCCAACAAAAACACTCAATTTAATCAGTTTTCAACAGTAAAACGTTACAGCAGGAGTGTCAAACTCATTCCACGGTGCAGAGTGTCTGCAGGTTTTTGGTTTTTCCTTTCAATTAAGACCTAGATAACCAGGTGAGGGGAGTTCCTTACTAATTAGTGACCTTAATTAATCAATCAAGTACAAGGGTGGAGCGAAATCCCGCAGACACTCGGCCCTCTGTGGAATGAGTTTGACACGTGCTTAACAAGATAGCTTTTGAATCTGTATTTATCTCTGCCGTCTCCTGTGGTTAGGCCTAAGTGTCATAAAAAGGAGTTATATTACCTTACGCAAACCAACTTGGTGCATTGGCTTTAAAAATGTTTGGTCAAATTTAATCAGACAGTCTCCTATCCTGTCAACAATATATGTTTAATGGTTCTATGTGTTAGAAATATAGAGAGACTAACAGCCACCTGTTTAGACATCAGGCTTGATTGTCACGACGTTAATTTCTCACAAACAATGTAAAAATCCACCTCACTGGTTAACATGTTGCGCTGATCCACAGCAAAATATAAATCCTTGAATGTGAAAAGTGGCAGAGTTGACAATGCTGCTAGCTGAAGCTGCAAACTGATTTGAATATAACCATTGCAATGTGCTTTGTTGTTGGCTTCATTTGTTATGCTTATGATACGACAGAGGACAAAAAGCCACTGCATTTCCTTTTTGAATATTTCTAATTCAGGAGATTTCTGTACAAGTGCAGGCCCTTAAAAAGGAAAGATTCAATTGAAAATATGTTTATTTCTGTAAATACAGTATTTAAATATTGTACAGATTTTTAGCGTTATTATTTTAGCAGCTTTAGAACAGTGTGTGCTTTCACACAGACACCTTATTTCATTATTCTCACCAGCCATAGCATGAGTCAAGGCAGAATTTGAATGGCATATTCATCGACAATGAAGTGAAAGGGAGCGTTGCCTGTGTGTTGCTCAGCGATTGAAAAAAGAAACTTGAATACCTTTGCCCTTAAAACATGAGTGGTTATTGTTATGGAACATGGAGTTTCTTTGGGTTGGGCAAATCCTCTTTTTTTTTGTGATTACATGGACAAGAAACAAGCGACAAGACAAACATTTCCCCTCCCAACCCCCTCCCACAGGACTTCCCTAACCCATAGCTAGATTAGTGGTTCACAGCAGCAGTCTACAGAGTCATACGCTGATGAAAGAGCAATTATGTTTCTTTCACTACAGATGTAGGATCATAATTTGATCACACTTTTGTTGATGAGAATTTTTCTGCACAGCAGGAAATGCAAACTTGTAGTGTATTCAAGGTTTAAAAAGGCTTCTAAAGTTTGTAATTTCCACTTTAATGTTTCAGACTTGATTTGCCCTAACGTAAAATGTATCAACCCCTACAAAAAATGTCCATTAATTATAATCCACATAATAATTCACATTTCCTGTTGCTGCTGGATTATTTGCCTCCTGTAGCAAATTGACTCAAATTAAGATCCTACATATGCAGCCTCATGCGTACGTGCTACAGATATTTCCATGTGGGCAAAACATTTTGTTTGCTTTGTAACTCAATTTGTATTTAGTTTTTAAAAAATTAAAATTAAAATTAAAAAATCTTTGTATTAGTCCCACTTGGCTTATGAAAAACCTGTATTCTGCATTCAAATGATCGATAGAAAATCTTTCTTGGCTCTTTCTAACGACAGTAATTGCCAATTCAACACTATCCTTCAACCAACCTGCAAATAATATAAAGTGACAGTTCCAAATCTCTGCCCTTCTCTCCCAAACAATGGTAATACAAGAGTAATAACACCTTGCAATTACAAGGTATTGTTCCTTACCACAATTGAACACAACCATAAAAAAATGTTGTGCTGTGCTTCCATTTGAAATTTGTTTCAAGGCTGCAGCTACTGGAAGCTGCTGTTGAAAGTATTATCCCCTAAATCAAGTATTGATGGAAGGAAGGAAATGACACAATAAAAACAACTTGATATTTAAAGATTGTGAAAATCTATAACCTTGTTCAATGAAATAAAAATATATAATTAATAGCTTTACACTCTGAAAAAAAGTTTATGGCCCAACATACAATAATCTACACAAATGAATGCCTGACATAAAATGAGATGTCAAAACGATTCACCATATAGACACAATGCATTTCTCTAGTCTTGATTCCAGACAGAGGTAGTGTATTACTCACTAGTAACTGATGGTCACATTGGATTTGAATTGATTCTGTTTCCTACAATAGCTGCAGTTCGTAGATGCACTCAATTTGAGTGGTTGGTTACAAGATATAGCGCAGACGATGCATGATAACCTTACTTGAAGGTTTATGGTCTTCCTGCAATGTTTCTCTCTGAGAACCCTACACTACGGGGTTTAAAACTCCTAAGTTAGATCTTCACTGAAGACTCTGTGAATGTAGGTCGGTCTCCCTTGATTTGTTGATGTGAAAAAGTGCACAAGCTTTGATCTCTGATGCTGCCTTTGGCACTTTCCTGCAATGCACATTTTGCATGAGTAACTCTTTTACGAATGATGAGAAAACAATTTCTAACAACACTTTTTAGGTTTGAGGTAAGGTGGTGATAATGTTATGCCACCATGTGTGGAGAAAAGTGTGGCCTTTTCAACTCCAGATGCAATGACATATTAACCATTAACTGCGAAGGCAACGTTTGTACATGTCCCAATCACTCATCTCACACACTGTTATCAGAGCAGATCTGTTCAATCTTTGGAAAGCCGTGAAGTGCCCAGATCTGCCCTCTCCATTCTAACAACTAATATCATGTTTATCTATCATGTTAATCTACACTTTCCTCATCCCCACCATTATATGGAGGTCAATGTATGACTATTAAGTTGAATGAAATAAAAAATAATTTGTTTCTTTAATGTATTGCTACTTTGATAAATACCATGTATTTTGTGCAGCCTCCAGTATTATGTAATGCACAAGATGCTGTATGTAGCTGCGTTATATTCAAAGCTATGTCGGAATTATATGTTTAGCTAAAGTTTGCATTGTATTTAGTTTATAATGGAGCAGAAGATGACAACTGGCACACTAAAGAGAGTACATATGTTGAATTCTATGGTAATTTATGAATCTGGAGTTGAATGGGTGGATAGGCAATTAAGGAGCATAATTGTAGCTAGCTTCTGCATACCAAATTGAAAGTGCTTAACTCTTAATCTAGAACTTAAAATATTACAGTTCACTGCTACTTGATTCTGTGCTTCTTATAGAATAAGTGACTTCACTATTCAGACAAAATTGCCACTCTTACTTAAATGTTTCATAAATCACACGTTTTTTCAGTGTATCTTTGGGTTGACGCACATGTGATTTTTATACTGTTGAGTTACAAGTCCCCTGCTCTTACCATTTTAACTAACATTTGTTGTATTTCAATGCCAAGTATCCACAGCCAAACTGTCATCCAATAAAATGTGTGTATTTCAAAGAATATCTGACTACCTATTGTTATTAGTTGGTGGTTTCATGACAGTCTGAGGGCATGCTGGTTTCATGACATACATGCTACACATCAAAAACACTTCTGACAACCCTTCACACATAAATAACAGGAAGAAAGGCAGAAAACAGACTATATAATACTTTTACATTTTGCCAGTGCAGTGTCTATAACCAGTCAATTGTGTTGTATCACTCAATTGGAAACAACAGTTACAATGTATTCTGCAATAAATCAAAATTTTGGAAATCCAATTCAATCTAATTTATATTTGTCTATGTATTCTATTCAGTGTTAGGAACATTTGATGAAGAAAGATTTTTTAAATGGGTGTGACCAATTTGGGTCTGTGCCTTCAGGCTGAGTAAGAGCCAAGAACGAGAATATCTGAAAAGCAACACTGCTCTCCGGTGGATACTTTTAGAAACTACAGTACCTGAGAATAGTATGTAATACAGCATTGAAATGATGGAATATCTAGTACTTTGCTTAGTGATACCCTGCTTCACCAACTGTACCTGTTTTTGAGACAATTCCAACTCAGTGGTTTATATCATCATGATAATGACAGCTCTAAATTATTTCAAACTGCTGCTCATCTGTTTCGGATCTCTCCACCCAGTCCGGAAGAGCTTATTAGCAGAAATAACAGTAGATCCAAAATAAGCTC